CACACACACACACACACACACACACACACACACACACACACAAAAGAAAAAATATTACAGCCTAAAGCGACACCCCTATTCTTAAACGTCAACTCTAGAGCCAGCTGGCGTTTCTAAAAACCCCACCAGGACTTTTACATTTCCATAAACCACTTTCAACTTCTTTCACTTATGTGCATCAAAAGTGTGGGAATCTGTTTAGGCCTTAACTTTAACTCATTGATGACGTGCTGATTCAGGGCTCTTAAAAAAAAAAAAGAAGCAGCATAATTCAATCGCTTTCAATAAAAATGTTCTTTCTTTCAAACTCACAAAGACAGGCAACAGTACGCATACTATGAAATACAAACGTGCATGCAATCAAATGCATATTTCTGATTAGTGTACGATGGCTCGAAATGTTTAGCAACTTTGCTTTTAGTCTCCTGTTGGTGCGATATATCATATAAATGTGCCCTCTATGCCCTTAAAGAGTTAACTCAAAACTTCATTCCAAGCAGTAGGTAAGATTGACAAAGAGTGTCATAGCCCTCCCGCCTCGGGCGCTCAGACCCCCACTGTTATCCTCCCATCAGAAAGACGTCAGTAATTAATTCAACCCATGGGGAACGCTAAGCGCTCAATGCTGAGCCCTGAATTCTATTTTAAAACTGAAAAAGTCGGAAATAATATTATTTCTCTACGTGTCAGCGCTAACGGTCTAATTTGAGTCATAGGTAGACTAATGACCCGCCCATTATGCTAAAAAAGGGGAGGAGCCAGAGATACTTTTCGCACTATAAATGTGCAGCATGAAAGACCCAAGAATGCCAGCTTCGCCATTCGTCCTAAAAGGTTCACCGTGGGATAGTAAGTATTCTGTTGGCTTCAAACTCACCTTGTTTGGTTTTTTTACCCTATCCGTACGCCCTGGGTTCATTTCAAACCCACGTGGTTGTATTCTTCGCATGTTAGAATACTTCTAGTACGAAGATCTGTTTGAAACTTTCAGTATTTCTCAAAAAATCATTTTGACAGACTGTTATGCAAAGCGTACAGATTGGATTAACTAGTAAATTTCCTCTTTGGAAAGTGGTGGCTCAGAGTCCCCCACGTCGTATGGATACGATAGTAATACACGACGTACAGACAGGGTTAAACAACATAACTGTAGTTGTAGTTGATTCTTTAATTTTCTATGGGACTTACATTCTGCACAATTGTTTCAAAGACTCTCTATTACTAAAAATGCACGTTTTTAAAAAAAAATCAGTGGCTCTTTCTTGATAAACCTTAGGTTTGGTCTTGTACTTTTTTTTTTAAATCGTTTTCTTCAAATTAACGTAAAAGAGAAGTGGCATGTTAAATTGGCTCTTTAGGAAATGTGGGTTGTGTTAAGAGAAGCTTCTTTTCTGTTAGGTTATTTGGGGGAGGGGGTGTCAAATGTACGGGTTTCTACACCCCGATCAACATAAGTAATTCAAGAGGTGGGTTTCCGATCCTGCTTGTCAGGGACCAACTCGGGCTGAGAGGGATAATAATCATTAACCCAGCAGAAAGATAGAGATGCTCACACAAAAATTCTCCCCACTCGGGAACCGAACTCGGGTTCCCTGCGTGCGAAAAGCGAAGTGCCTAACCGCTCCACCTCAGACATTGGTTTCTTTTTTTAACAACAATACTCTTTCGGAGCTCAGCCTTCATGAGAGCCTTTCTAAAGACAGGAGATCTTTCCAGTCTCATTGCGCTACCCTAAAATTTCAAAGTTCTATCTGACATTTTTGGCAGTTTTGAATTACTAAGACCACGAGGTCAGAAACCAATTAATGTTTTATCTTCTCTATCAAAATCGTAAGATAACAACTCGGAGTCGTTATCAAGAAATTCAAAGAACATGCTGTTAAACTCGAAATCTTTTACGTTAAATTTCTCAAAGCTATTTGCTGAGCAGACAGAATTTTGCAATTCTAATACGGGGTGCCCACTACGGATGGGATCGGCCGATCGGGCCAATCGCCCGACTCGGTCGCCTCAAAAACAAACGTGTTCGTTTTCAGTTTCAGGCCACTGAGTCGGGTGATCGGCCCGATCCAGCCGTAGTGGGCACCCCATATAAGGTAGCGATGTGTCCATCCTCGGTGGCGCTCGTCCCCAGCATCCGACTCTTTCACTCTGGCACTATTGGGTTCATGCGGCCAAGAAAAGACTGCCAATGCGACTCTGTGCTGAGCGACCCTCTCCACTTCCAGCCATCTGTGCCCACCTATTATCACGCCTGAGATCTGTCTCCAGATCTCGTTCCAAGGTGGATCTCGGCCTTCCTCTCTTCCTCCTTCCCCTGAGGATTCCTTCTCATGACTTACCATGTCATATTGTTGACTGGCTCCCAGAGCGTTTGTCCAATCCACAGACAACTCATTTTCTTGATATCTCTATCAGTTGGTTGTTGTTTGGTTTTCCTCCATAGTACATGTACTACATTTACAAATTATTTTTCTGTACGAAAATCAGTAAATTGTTGTCTTATCTGGGCATACCAGGAGAAATGTATTTGGAAAAACCTGAATATCAAATGAGTTATGAGCAAACATCAAGATAATGTGGGATTTATGAGAGCATCTGAGGAGGGGAAATGAATGGAGAACCATGATCGCCGATGTCTATTTCAGATTTAGCACTTATTTATAACGACAATAATTTTATAGAATCTTATTTAAAGAAAGAAAGAAAGAAACACCTAAACAAAGAAATAACTACATAAATATATTAAATATTTAATTAATTAATTAATTAATTAATTAATTAATAAAACACAAGGGGGAAAAAACAAGAGATTCCTTCCTGTCCACAGACGACTCGCCTCCAGTCCATCATGCTGAGACTTGTAGTACTTACGTTCGCCGTCCTACTCGGCCTGAGCTCGGCTGTTCCCGTGGACTCCGGCGACCAATCATCTGCCGGCACTCCACAATCCTCCCACGGCTCGGGCGGCTACGGCGGCTACGGCGGCTACCGACCTCCCGCACCCCACGGCGGCTACTTCTCGGCCCCACCCCCCGTCAGGCACAGTGGTAGAGATCTATACAGTGAGGTGGCAGAGACACGGAGCCGTATTCAAGGTGGGTTTGGTATCGTGTGGAGTCATGATATTAGTAGTAGTAGTAGTAGTAGTAGTAGTAGTAGTAGTAGTAGTAGTAGTAGTAGTAGTAGTAGTAGTATT